ACCACTGCAGCCTGGACCCGCTGGGCTCAGGGGATCCTTCTGCCTCGGCCTTCCAAGTAGCTGGAACTGTAGGCATGCTACCACGCCCGGCTAATTTTTTGATTTATTGTAGAGACGAGGTCTCACCAAGTTGCCCAGGCTGGTCTTGAACCCCTGAGCTCAGGCAGTCCTCTCACCTTGGCCTCCCAAAGTGCTGGGATGACAGGCTTGAGCCACCGCACCTGACCTTCCTGCAGATAATTTTTAAAGTGCAAGGCAAGATTACTTATTCACAAATTTAATCTAATAGTAACTGGGTTTCCCAGAGAGGACTTGCTGTGGGTATAGGCCTGTGCTTGGTGCTTGAGGGATACAGAAGTGTTCAATTCTGCCCCTGTATCAAGCAGCAGGCATTTCATCTGGGCAGAGCTAATCGCCATAGTCGTGGATGACCTTTATGCAACGGTCTGGATTTCACCTACATTTATCTCTAACCTTCCTAATAGTCCTGCATTGTTCCTCATCCTCTTTATTCGGATAAAGAAACTGAGACTCATTTGGTTGGTGACTTGCCCTCATAGCTGTAAAGCCCAGCATCCAAATCCACCAACGGGGCAGAATGAATGTCAGTAGGGATTAAGGGACAAGGACATTTTTTTTTTCAACTCAGTACATTTTAACCTTCAGTTTTAGATTCCCGGGTAAGTAAAGAGAGCTTCTGCACTCAGGGACGGTTTTGCTCAGGGGTTTCAAAGGATTTTTCTTTTTTTTCCAAGAGACATAGCCATCAGTTCGTATGTTTCTCTTTTTACGAGAAGGTAGCAATATCGTATGGCATGAAAGGATCGTGGTGGCTAGATGGCACAAAACTACACTACTCTGTTTATTTTCATTTAAAACAAGTTCCAGCCGGGCTCGGTAATCCCGCGCCTTTGGGAGGCTGAGGTGAGTGGATTGCCTGAGCCCATGGGTTCGAGACCCGCCTGGGCAACTTGGTGAGACCTCATCTCTACAATAAATCAAAAATTAGCCGGGCGTGGTAGCGCACGCCTGTAATTCTGGCTACTCGGAAGGCTGAGGCGAAAGGATCGCCGGAGCCTAGCAGGTCGAGGCTGCGGTGGCCG